TTTCCCTTTAAGCTCTAGTGTCCCTCAAGCTCAGGCCATGGGTGTGGGTGACCAGGCCAATTTAATTTAATTCAATTCAATTTTGTCTGGGTCTGCTTAGTTATGATATAGAGACCCAAAGATGAACCCATATCCCAATACTCAATTCAAATGAATGGAGTCAGCCCTCTGTCTAGCCCAGAAACTCCCGTGTCCCTGCTATGAGTTCCTGCAGCACTTTTTGTGTTCCTCAACCTCCACTCATCATCACACTGTGTGGCAATTATCTGTGTATATATCTGGGTGTTCCTTCCTCTTTCATGTTCATCTCTATGCCCAATGCCTGGCATGCAGATGTTTATCGAGTGAGAATGAATGTTTGGAGATCATTAAAATACAAGGCAGAAAGTAAAAAGGGTTCTAATAGATGTGTAAGGAAGATGCATAGTCAGAGGAAGGGGAAATTAACTCCAAAGGAAATAGATGTCCAGAGAAGTGGGCACTAGACCTCAGTCTTAGGGACATAGGTAAGTAGGAATTCACCAGATACAGAAAACATATTTGCGATGGAGGTGGGGGTTGGTGAAAGAACTTTCCAGGCTGAGGTACCAATGTAAGCAAGGGAAGGGGTCATAAGTGCATACGATGCCTTCAAGAAACTGAGTCATCCAGTAGCTTAAGTGGGTGCATTGCAGGGAGGGGGTTGGAAGAGGATAAGGGCAGTTCTCAGAGAACCCGCACTTGCTAAAGGTTGCAGACAGTAAAGAGTAGGGGAAGGTGTTTTTTTAGACAATAAGGACCTGACCTGTCAAATACTACAGGGAGGTCAAGTAGAATAGGCTTAGAAGAGACCTTTGGATTCAGCAGTTAAAGCTTAGTGACCTTGGGAAGAAGTGTCCAAGCAGTGATGGCAGGACAGATGGGGCACTGGATTGTAATGGACTGAAAAATGAACAGAAAGATGAATATCATCCTTTCAAGAAGTTTGGCTGCAAAGAGATTTGGAGTAAAGCTTGAGGAAAGATAGGCTTTCTTAAGGAAGAGTAGAGTTAGGCCAATTTAATTAAGTCTTGAGGGGTTAGAAGGGTAAAGGATTCAAGTTCATCATTTACTGAGTTGGATGGGGGTGGTGATTCTCTTGGGAAGCAGGGGATCTGGCTGGATAGTGGGCATTGGGATGAGTGGGATTGGAGGGTCTGGCTGAGCCGGGGACACAGACCCCCTATTGCCACCTCTCTCTTTTCCTGCCCAGAATTGGAGCTTGCCATTAGGGTCACCCTTTACGCAGTGATCTTTCTGATGAGCGTTGGAGGAAATGTGCTCATCATTGTGGTCCTGGGACTGAGCCGCCGCTTGAGGACCGTCACCAACACCTTCCTGCTGTCACTGGCCGTCAGCGACCTCCTACTGGCTGTGGCCTGCATGCCCTTCACCCTCCTGCCCAATCTCATGGGCACATTCATCTTTGGCACAGTCGTCTGCAAGGCGGTTGCCTACCTCATGGGTAGGTGAGACAACCACCCTGCCCCCCTTGCCCCTCTCCTCCTCTACAGTCCTTGCCCCATGTCTGCGGTGTTTCCCCGGAGACAGTTGAGAAAGTCACACTGATGATTGTGTGGTTCAGGTTTCCTAGGTGACCCCTTCTTCCTTCCTTGCTTAGGGGTGTCAGTAAGTGTGTCCACGCTAAGCCTGGTGGCCATCGCCTTGGAGAGGTACAGCGCCATCTGCCGACCACTGCAGGCCCGCGTGTGGCAGACACGCTCCCACGCTGCTCGTGTGATCATAGCCACGTGGATGCTGTCGGGGCTGCTCATGGTGCCCTACCCCATATACACCGTCGTGCAGCCAGTGGGGCCCCGAGTGCTGCAGTGCGTGCATCGCTGGCCCAGTGCGAGGGTTCGCCAAACCTGGTGAGGGTGCCCATTCCTGGGAATCCCTTCTCCAGCTCCATCAGATGCTTAGGGCCATTCCCCAGAACCTTCCCCGGAAGCTGCTCCTAGAATTACTACTCCAATTCCCTTTCGGCACCCCCCTCCCTGGGATTCCCATTTGGGGCCTCTCTGCAGTTCTCTAGGCCTTCCCATAGCACCCCCAAATCCTAGAAACATCCGTCCTCGGCTCGTTCCTCATCCGCGGTTTGGGCTGGACAGAGCCCCGCGTGACCGGCCTGTGCTCTGCTTCCAGGTCGGTACTGCTGCTCCTGCTTCTGTTCTTCATCCCGGGTGTGGTAATGGCCGTGGCCTACGGGCTCATTTCCCGCGAACTCTACTTAGGCCTTCGCTTTGATGGCGACAGTGACAGCGAGAGCCAGAGCCGAGCCCGAAGCCCAGGAGGGTTGCCAGCTGGGGCGGGACCAGGTGCGTGAAACCCAGAGTGAAATCCATAAGGGGCCGGGCTTTGAAAAGTGGGGGGGTCTACGGAAAGGCTGGAAATGGGGGGTCCGATAGGCGTTGGTCTGGAGTTGAGAGGACTGGGCTTCCTGCCCTGAGCGCCCACTGTCTGTGCCTAGGTGTTGCCCTGCAGAACGGGCGTTGCCGGCTGGAGACCCGGCTGGCGGGCGGTTTGTTTTTCAACTGATTAATGTTGTCCTGGTCAAGTTGACACATAAAATTAACTATCACATTTTCGAAGTCCTGCCACCGGCCGACCCAGGCCAAGCTGCTGGCCAAGAAGCGCGTGGTGCGGATGCTGCTGGTGATCGTCGTGCTCTTCTTCCTGTGCTGGCTGCCGGTGTACAGCGCCAACACGTGGAAGGCCTTCGACGGCCCCGGAGCGCGCCGAGCACTGTCGGGCGCGCCCATCTCTTTCATCCACTTGCTGAGCTACGTCTCGGCGTGTGTCAATCCCCTGGTCTACTGCTTCATGCACCGTCGCTTTCGCCAGGCCTGTCTCGACACGTGTGCCCGATGCTGCCCGCGGCCCCCGCGAGCTCGCCCCCGGCCTCTTCCAGACGAGGACCCTCCCACCCCCTCCATCGCTTCCCTGTCCAGGCTGAGCTACACCACCGTCAGCACGCTGGGGCCTGGCTGAGGGGTGAGGGGCGAGTCGGGGCTAAGGCAGAACAGGCCGATCTTTCAAGCACTGGCCCCATTCAGACACACAAGAGACACTGACGCCCCCTACCCCCTCCCCCGCAAAAGACTGACACCCAACAGCATGGACTTACCCCCAAAACACAGGAAAAGGTGGCTTATTGGCACAAAGTAAACAAAGCAGACCCACACACAGAAAACGAGGCACACTCGCTGTGGCACAGAAACAGGGCACTGACCTTGGACAGACTATCCCTCCGCAGCAGGACCTCTATGACCGGGAAGACCGGCCTCACACACACACAGCGTAATGGCACTGACTCATTTAGGATCTGGAGCCCGGCACTGGGCTGACTCCTGAGATGCTCCAGGCTGCCCCCACTTTGGCCTCGCAGTGCCCTTCCCCAAGCAGCACTGGGTACACCAACCTCATCTCACAGCTCCCTGACTAACAGGCTGTTTTGCACTGAGAAGTCCCTTCATTCCTTTCCAATTAAATACTATGTCCCTGCCCCCGCCGACCTCTTCAATAAATAATAAATGCCTTGGCTTCCTCCTAAACTTCCTTTCTGGACTCTTCGGGGGCAGGTGGGGCGGCAAGAGGTTTTGTGATCTTTCCTGTCAGGTCACCCGCAGCAGGACCCCCTGCCAAAAAGCCCACAGTCTGAGGCTGGAGGGGGCTGTGTGTTGTCTCTGAATTGTCATCCTGGACCCACCGCCACACCCCATGTCATAGGTAGCAGCTGGACATGGGGGTGAGGGTGGGAGGTAGGATATCCATGACACTTCGTGAGTCCTAAGCACATTCTCTTAAAGTGGCATCCCTGTTAAGGTACTATAACAGTAAGTGCTTATTAAACATTTAATGAAGAGATAAAAGAAGCAGCACTGTATAATGAGACTCCGTTTGTTTAATATGTGTTTGAAACACCAGGGGTCAGACCATGATAGGTGAACAGAGACTAATTAAAGAGTAGAGCCTTGTCGATGCGCTCTTATCTGGCAGCAGTTCCTGGCCACGCTTCTGCTCCACAGAAGCACCCTTACTGGTCAGCAGCAAGAAAGGGGGGAGGGGGGGTGGAGAGGGCTGGCCCTGAATAGGAGTCCCAGAGCCCAGCCTCCCTTTTGGCACGAAGACACCCAGCCCTGGCCGGTGTGGCCCAGTTGGTTGGGCATCCTCCCATGCACCGAAAGGTTCCTGGTTTGATTCCCTGTAGGGGCAAACGCCCAGGTTTGGGGCTCCATCCCCAGTAGGGGATGTGCAGGACGCAGCCAGTCAGTGTTTTCCTCTCACATCGATGTTTCTCTCTTTCTCCCTCTCCCTTCCTTGTTCTCTAAAAATCAATGAAAATATTTTTTTTAAAACTGATCCAGCCCCAGAGAGACAGAGACAGCAACATCACCCCCTACACACACACAATGACAAACAGACAGGAAAGAACTGATGAGCTCATTAAGGGGGCATACATGGATAATCGTGTATGGTATGGTATGTTGGGAGAGGGCTTCCTTGACATTTCGTCTTGTAACAGATGGGTGAACTGAGACCCAAAGAAGAAAAGAAAACTGCTCAAGGTCATTCGATAAATAGGAGCAAGACAGAAATAACCCTTTTAAAGTGGACACTGAGTTGGAGATGGGAAAGAAGCCATACCCATCAGGGAGCAGACCCAAATGCCTGGTACTTATAAAATTGGGAGCCCTTTTTCAAGAAAAAGAATACAAATACACAGATACAAAATTGCCAGGGGACTCACCAGGGCCTTGGAAGAGGCCTGTGTGAGTGAGGAGCCCTGATATTTAAGCCTCATTAGTTTCACAGCTAATAATGCCTCTACCCACTAACTGCGCTGAACAAAGCCTGGGAGGGGCGAAGGACAGTGAGAAAGGAAAGTGGGTTTTCTGTTAAACGCTGAGGTGGCTCCCAGCCATCCTTTTTACAAGCTCTAGGCTGCAAGAGGCAGGACTAAGGAGAAACGGAGGGAGAAGGCGTTGCAAGCTGTCAAACACAGTACTGGTTAAAAATAGAATCCCAGCTGGTCTGAGGAGCTGAAGGCAAGATATTGGGCCTTTCTCTCTCATGCCAATTCTTCCTGGATGGGGCTGGAGGGAGAAGTAGGGTTTCCCATAGGGTTCGCAGCCCTCCTACCCTCCCACCACTATCTCTACCATTCCATTTGAAAGCAATGCAGCCTTGACCAGGGTCAGCCCCTTTAGCTGGGGCCTGGGCTCCTGTTGACCACCAGATGGCAGTGGGGAGTCCAAGGGGGCTGGCTGTGGAAAGGGCTAGCCTAGAACCCAGCACATGGTGCAGCCCTTTAGTCTAGTGAATACTTATGTATTCATTCACTCTGTGCTCTATCTAGTTACCAAGTGTGGAATCCCATCCCGGGAGCCTCCCATCTTTTGAAATGTGACAAAACATTTCAGGTCCAGATTTAATGTCGCTGCCTCCATGAAGTTCTGCTTGGTCATCCTAACAAAGCTCATGTGCTCATACAGTACTGACTACCTTCTCTCTTCTATTGAAGTTATTTGTGTCCCTGCCTGATTTCCGATATTGGAGTGGAAGAAGCATGAGGTCATAGGAGGATGACTGAGCCTAGATCTAGATGGTGAGGTGATGGAAGGCGTGGAGACAAAATATGCTTCTCAGTGCTATACGACAGGCGTTTTGTATACACAATTTATTTTATTCTCAGAACTCTTCAAAAGAATATTTCTCTTCATTTGACAGAAAGGGAAAGTGAAGCTGAAAAATTTAGGTCTTGCAGCTAGAATGGAAGCAAGAATTAAGCTCAGGTATCTGCCTCCAAAGCTTTTTCTCTTTCCATTATGCTGTATTGCCTTCCTTCAAGCCTTGAAGACCTGGGCAGGTTCTACTGGTCCTGCCTTTTAAGAGTTGTGTAATTAAACAAAGAGAGAGGTCCCAAATAAAAGAACCAGAAACGAAAGTGGAGGAGTGACCACTGACACCACAGAAATACAAAGGATTGTAAGAAAATACTATGAACAACTATATGCCAACAAGCTGGACAATGTGGATGAAATAGAAAAATTCCTAGAAAAATACAATCTCCCAAAACTGAATCAGGAAGAATCAAAAAATCTGAATAAGCCAATAACAACTGATGAAATAGAAGCAGTAATAAAAATAAAAATAAACTCCCACCAAACAAAAGCCCAGGTCCTGATGGTTTCACAGGGGAGTTTTACCAAACATTCAAAGAAGAACTACCACCTATACTCCTCAAACTATTTCAGAAAATCCAAGACGAAGGTACACTTCCAAACTCTTTTTATGATGCCAGCATTATCCTAATTCCAAAACCAAATAAAGACACTACAAAGAAAGAAAATTACAGGCCAATATCCCTGATGAACATAGATGCTAAAATCCTTAACAAAATATTAGCAAATCACATCCGGCAATATATTTAAAAGCTCATACACCATGACCAAATGAGATTTATTCCATGAATGCAAGGCTGGTACAATATTCACAAATCAATAAATGTGATATATCACAAGCAAATTGAAAGACCAAAATCACATGAACATATCAATAGATGCAGAAAAAGCATTTGACAAAATCCAACACACATTTTTGATAAAAACTTTCTGCAAAGTGGGACTAGAGGGAGCATATCGCAACATGATAAAGGCCATATATGACAAACCTATAGCCAACATCATACTTAATGGGCAAAAACTAAACTCATTTCCCTTAAGAACATGAACAAGACAGTGATGTCTACTCTCACCACTCCTGTTCGACATAGTACCGGAAGTGCTAGCCATAGTGATCAGACAAGAAGAAGAAATAAAAGGCATCCAAATTAGAAAAAGAAGAAGTAAAACTGTCCTTATTCATAAATGACATGATATTGTACAAAGAAAATTCCAAAGACTCCATCAAAAAACTACCAGACTTAATAAATGAATTCGGCAATGTAGCAGGATACAAAATTAACACCCAGAAATTATGCTCAATTAA